CACATCTGGAGAGAAGAGACTTCGTGACAACCCATCAACATGGGTTCAGGGAGGGTAAATCTTGCCTTACAGGATTGATAGAATTCTACGATCAGGTGACAATGATTAAACAAGAAAGAGAAGGGTGGGCGGGCTGCATTTTTTTGGACTGTCGGAAAGCCTTTGACACTGTACCCCATAAAAGGTTGATGCATAAGCTGGAGAAACAGGCAGGAGTAACTGGTAGGGCACTCCAGTGGATAAGGGAGTACCTAAACAATAGGAAGCAGAGAGTTACAGTGAGGGGTGAGATCTCAGACTGGCGTGAAGTCACCAGTGGAGTCCCACAGGGCTCTGTACTTGGACCTATCCTGTTTCTGATATACGTAAATGATCTCCCAGAGGGTATAGACTCATTCCTCTCAATGTTTGCTGACGACGCCAAAATTATGAGAAGGATTAAGACAGAGGAGGACAGCTTGAGGCTTCAAGAAGACCTGGACAAGCTGCAGGAATGGTCGAACAAATGGCTGTTAGAGTTTAATCCAAGCAAATGTAATGTAATGAAGATAGGGGTAGAAAGCAGGAGACCAGATACAAGGTATCACTTGGGAGATGAAATACTTCAAGAGTCCGAGAGAGAGAAAGACCTGGGGGTTGATATCATGCCAGACCTGTCCCCTGAAGCACATATCAAGAGGATAACAGCAGCAGCATATGCCAGGTTGGCTAACATAAGAACGGCATTTAGAAACTTGTGTAAGGAATCTTTCAGAACATTATATACCACAGATGTCAGACCAATCCTGGAGTATGCGGCACCAGCATGGAGTCCATATCTAGTCAAGCATAAGACTAAAATGGAAAAGGTTCAAAGGTTTGCCACCAGACTAGTACCCGAGCTGAGAGGTATGAGCTACGAGGAGAGACTACGGGAATTAAACCTCACTTCGTTGGAAGACAGAAGAGTTAGGGGGGACATGATCACCACATTCAAGATCCTCAAGGGAATCGACAGGGTTGATAAAGACAGGCTGTTTAACACAAGGGGCACACGCAATAGGGGACACAGGTGGAAACTGAGTGCCCAAATGAGCCACAGAGATATTAGAAAGAACTTTTTTAGTGTCAGAGTGGTTGACAAATGGAATGCATTAGGAAGTGATGTGGTGGAGGCTGACTCCATACACAGTTTCAAGTGTAGATATGATAGAGCCCAATAGGCTCAGGAACCTGTACACCTGTTGATTGACGGTTGAGAGGCGGGACCACCCCTCTCCCTGCCTCCCTCAACACCACTCCTCTCCCTGCCTCCCTCAACACCACTCCTCTCCCTGCCTCCCTCAACACCACCCCTCTCCCTGCCTCCCTCAACACCACTCCTCTCCCTGCCTCCCTCAACACCACTCCTCTCCCTGCCTCCCTCAACACCACCCCTCTCCCTGCCTCCCTCAACACCACCCCTCTCCCTGCCTCCCTCAACACCACCCCTCTCCCTGCCTCCCTCAACACCACCCCTCTCCCTGCCTCCCTCAACACCACTCCTCTCCCTGCCTCCCTCAACACCACTCCTCTCCCTGCCTCCCTCAACACCACTCCTCTCCCTGCCTCCCTCAACACCACCCCTCTCCCTGCCTCCCTCAACACCACCCCTCTCCCTGCCTCCCTCAACACCACTCCTCTCCCTGCCTCCCTCAACACCACCCCTCTCCCTGCCTCCCTCAACACCACTCCTCTCCCTGCCTCCCTCAACACCACCCCTCTCCCTGCCTCCCTCAACACCACCCCTCTCCCTGCCTCCCTCAACACCACCCCTCTCCCTGCCTCCCTCAACACCACTCCTCTCCCTGCCTCCCTCAACACCACTCCTCTCCCTGCCTCCCTCAACACCACTCCTCTCCCTGCCTCCCTCAACACCACCCCTCTCCCTGCCTCCCTCAACACCACCCCTCTCCCTGCCTCCCTCAACACCACCCCTCTCCCTGCCTCCCTCAACACCACTCCTCTCCCTGCCTCCCTCAACACCACCCCTCTCCCTGCCTCCCTCAACACCACTCCTCTCCCTGCCTCCCTCAACACCACCCCTCTCCCTGCCTCCCTCAACACCACTCCTCTCCCTGCCTCCCTCAACACCACCCCTCTCCCTCCCTCCCTCAACACCACCCCTCTCCCTGCCTCCCTCAACACCACCCCTCTCCCTGCCTCCCTCAACACCACCCCTCTCCCTGCCTCCCTCAACACCACCCCTCTCCCTGCCTCCCTCAACACCACTCCTCTCCCTGCCTCCCTCAACACCACCCCTCTCCCTGCCTCCCTCAACACCACTCCTCTCCCTGCCTCCCTCAACACCACCCCTCTCCCTGCCTCCCTCAACACCACTCCTCTCCCTGCCTCCCTCAACACCACCCCTCTCCCTGCCTCCCTCAACACCACCCCTCTCCCTGCCTCCCTCAACACCACTCCTCTCCCTGCCTCCCTCAACACCACTCCTCTCCCTGCCTCCCTCAACACCACCCCTCTCCCTGCCTCCCTCAACACCACCCCTCTCCCTGCCTCCCTCAACACCACTCCTCTCCCTGCCTCCCTCAACACCACCCCTCTCCCTGCCTCCCTCAACACCACTCCTCTCCCTGCCTCCCTCAACACCACCCCTCTCCCTGCCTCCCTCAACACCACCCCTCTCCCTGCCTCCCTCAACACCACCCCTCTCCCTCCCTCCCTCACTACCACCACCAATACTCTCCCTGCCTCCCTCAACACCACCCCTCTCCCTGCCTCCCTCAAAACCACCCCTCTCCCTGCCTCCCTCAAAACCACCCCTCTCCCTGCCTCCCTCAAAACCACCCCTCTCCCTGCCTCCCTCACTACCACCACCAATACTCTCCCTACCACCCTCACCACCACCCCCAACACTCTCCCTGCCTCTCCCCCTCAATGCCTCCCTCCATCAATCACTGCCTCCCATCCCTGCCTCAAGGCCTTGGAGGTCGGTGGCCTGTTGCCACATGAAGGGCCGCCGATGCCAAAACAAACTCAATACCGACCTTCGGTAATATCGACCGCCAGACTGGTATATGAGGGTCCAGATACCGATCTCCCAAACCGGTCGTTATTACCGGCAGATCGGTATGAAAGAGGCCGTTAAATTGAGTGGATACTGTATATATGATTAAAGAACTCCTGCACAACCTTCAACCCTCCCTGTCCATAACCAACTCTCCCCGACCCTTCCCCAGCTAAGGTTGATACGAGCCAGTGGACCTGTGCTAGTCTTCTCCATCTCTAATACACAGGGGATATCTAAGATCTGCCACTCTCCCAGCAACACCACTCTCTCACACTTCCTATACCCACACCCGGGCACCATACATGCTCTCACTCATACAAGGGTACCCACATGCCAAAACCCACACCTGCATGTGAATACCCATATGCCAATACCCATACCCACACCCACATTCAAAGGCCCATAACACCCACTCCAGACACCACACCAAGTTTTACACTGATGCTAATGGCGACATACAGAACTTCTCATTTATTAGTACATTAGATAATGGACAAATTTTCACCATCAAATTGTTGACTTTCCCCTTAGATTTTCTGGATGACTAGCCCTAATACAGACATAACTAGTTATTTGTTTAGTCTAGGTCGGAGCCGGTCGGCCGAGCGGACAGCACGCTGGACTTGTGATCCTGTGGTCCTGGGTTCGATCCCAGGTGCCGGCGAGAAGCAATGGGCAGAGTTTCTTTCACCCTATGCCCCTGTTACCTAGCAGTAAAATAGGTACCTGGGTGTTAGTCAGCTGTCACGGGCTGCTTCCTGGGGGTGGAGCCCTGGTCGAGGACCGGGCCGCGGGGACACTAAAAAGTCCCGAAATCATCTCAAGATAATCTCAAGATAGGTCCCAAGGCATTCAGAGAGCATGTGATCATCTGTATGTATGTGTGTAATTACCAAAGTAGTTACAGGAGGAGAGCTACACTTGTAGTGTCCCATCTTCTCAGTACACTTTGTCATATGTTTTGAAACTACTTGTATTGACAGTTTTGGCCTCCATTACTTTCTCACTTAACTTGTTCCAACCGTCTACCACTCTGTTTGCAAACGAAAACTTTCTAATATTTTTTCTACCCCTTCGTTTCCTTAGCTAGAAACTACGACCTCTTGTTCTTGAGGTGGTTGTTTTCAAGAATTCCTCTGTCAATATGGTCAATTCCCGTTATTATTTTGTAAGTGATGATCATATCGCCTCTATCTTCTAGCTCTTGCATATTTAATGCCTCTAGCCTCTTCACAACTCTTAATTTTCAGAAGAGAACATTCTGGACACCTAATTTGATCTCATTAACATCTGTATTTTCCCTAACACGCTGATGGCAATGCTATTGAAATCTGTGTCCATATTTACTATCCGTCTGCAGAATCAAGCTATTAGCTTTTGGACCCCATCTTTCTAACCAATCTATTTTTCCTCTATTATGTCTACTACATATATTTCTCTCTAATGCAAGCACTCATGCGTTCACTCCCTCGTTCACACAGTGTGTACTCACCTAGTTGGGGGGGGATGGGTTGAGCTCTTTGGTCCTGCCATTCAACTGACTTATCTGGTGTACAGATTCCTGAGCCTACTGGGCTCTATCATATCTACATTTGAAGCTGTGTATGAAGTCAGCCTCCACCACATCACTGCCTAATGCATTCCATCTGTTAACTACTCTGACACTGAAAAAGTTCTAACGTCCCTGTGGCTCATTTGAGTACTGTACTCAGTTTCCACCTGTGTTCTCTTGTTCATGTACCACTCGTGTTAAACAGAGAGAGAGAGAGAGTGTGAGTGAGTGAGTGAGTGAGTGAGTGAGTGAGAGTGAGAGTGTGTGTGTGTGTGTGGGTGTGTGGGTGTGTGGGTGTGTGAGTGTGTGAGTGTGTGAGTGTGTGAGTGTGTGAGTGTGTGAGTGTGTGTGTGTGTGTGTGTGTGTGTGTGTGTGTGTGTGTGTGTGTGTGTGTGTGTGTGTGTGTGTGTGTGTGTGTGTGTGTGTGTGTGTGTGTGTGTGTGTGTGTGTGTGTGTGTGTGTGTGTGTGTTTTAATGGTGTGTGTGTGTGTGTGTGTACACAGTACGTATGTGATGCATATGAATGATGTACAATATATTTAATTCCTAAATACATAAATAAAAAACTGAACCATTTATTTACTCTATTAAAAATATATTAAGTATTAAAAATGTATGTTTACAACCCTCTTCTTTTATCTGTTCCTCTCAACCTTTTGTATATAATGTACATGTAATACTTATTCAATATAACCTATAAAAAATGAATTTTTACAGTTTTGTTCTTGCAATATGTTACTTACTGTATGTTAATTAGATAAAAATTTACATTTAACAAAACAAACTTGCCACTTTTGTCATTTTATATAAGTAAATATTTAAAAACTTTATATTCAAGACATTAAATATCTCATTTAAACTGTGATCAAACAAAACTTGAAGCTATGTAGTAATTTGATACAAATGCTTCTAGAATTATAGCATGGATGAAAATTATTTTTATAGAACAAAACTATAAAACCAGTTGTTATTATTAACCGATACTAAACACAATCTGTTAAAAGAACCAACTATTTTGAACAGTATTGTTTACTATATATAAAAATACTGATGACTGGAGGGAATCAAGTGCTGGTTATGCTCCTTTTTGCATATGGAGGGATACCCTACTGCCCACTAGCTTAAGCAGGCAGATTTAATAAAAAAACAAAAAAAAAACACAATTCTTAACTTATTTTTACATCAACCAGCAAACCTTCCCACATTCCTAAAGGTGGAGAGTGTGGCTCTTTTCTAACAAGACCTTACTATACAAGGAGTGACGTTTGTGTAAAAATTAGTGCAAGGCTTCCAACAGGCCACGCGGTTGTTCACGATGAGGGAGATTGTGGGAAAATGGCAGACAAGTTGGACGCGTGTGAAACTTGATGCCAACCTAGTCAAAAGAAAAATTTATGTAAAATGGATATCCAGTGTACAGCATGTTGAAGTACCGTATTTAATACTGTAATTACAAATAAAACGTCAGCAAGATTAAATTTATTGCCGAGGTGTAAAAGGAAATAAAACCAGCAGCCAATATGGACAAACTTTGAAAGGGCTCTATCTCATTACCTCTTACATATTCTGCACCATACTGTATACAATACAAAAAATAAACAAATTGTAAAATAAAAAATAATGAAAGGACAAATGTATCAGGGTCATCAGTCAAATAAAATTGTATACCTGTACTGTAATGTACATTTTTTAAAACTGTATGTAGTGTACTGTGTTACATTTAGTATACTATATTTTGTCAGAACTAGGTTTTGGCTTATTTATGGAAGCCAAGGAAAGGAAATTCCCTTGCCCTGCCATGTTGCTTCCACAAAGAGCAGAAATGAAGCAGAGATGGATATATGAGTCACCTCACAAAGAGACATACAGTACTGGGTTGGTGACCGAACCCCAACTTGAATTGAACGGAAAAACCAGTTTTGATCATCTAGAGGTGTAACCTTAACCAGATGTTGAGGTTACAGCCAATGCAAGCCTCAGATAAAAAATGGCTAAAGAATGTTTGCAGGCAGTACACACATGAAAGGAGTTCCAAGAAATACCAAGGAACCCCAAATCCTGGCAGAAATTTGGAAACCTCTGCCCCATCAGCACCCACTAAAAAAAAGAAAAAAAAAAACTCAAGCAAATGCGAGAGGATAGGTAGCTGAGTATTAAGCAGCTGGTTCAAGAGCAAAATCTCTGCCAACTAAAGTGCCAGATCTAGTTCTCATGCCAGCTCAGTCCTGTATTTAGCATAGGCAAGTACTGTACTGTATACACTGGTACTTTGTTTATGATCGTAATCCGTTCCAAGAGACGCGTCGTCAAGCAAGCATTCGTCAACCAAAACGAATTTTCCCATAAGAAATAATGTAAATTGAATTAATCTGTTCCACACCCTCAAAAATATTAACTTAATATTTCACCTTGAATGAGGACTTTCGTTGGCATATGGAAGATGGTGAGGAGGAGGGGATGAGAGGTGTTAGTGTTTGGAAGGGGGTGTCCCTTTCCATTATAACAGCAGTGATGACATTTCTAGGGTATGCTCTTTTCTATGTTTTGCAGGCATACCACTAGGATCTGGTTGTGGCTCACTGCTTGCTTGTCTTACGAAGAATCTGTCTAAAGACACTTGTTTTCCCTACATTTAAACACTTGTCTGTAGTGAGACATCACATTCTCACTATGAATGATCTCTTGTTTTTCTCTCAATTATCATCCTCACACCTATTTTATTAGGTTGAACTTTACCACTGACTTTCTTGGGACCCATGGTGTGATATATAATAAGAACTATTATGTTAAAAAAGCAAAAAAGGCAGGCAATCAATGAAATTATTCACAAAGAATTCAAGTGCGGCCGCATTCGTCACTATGCGGGATAGTCTTGTAAACAAACCGAGAGTGCCTCGCCCGGCGATTCTTTCTATAACCGTTTTCTACAACATATAGGCCCTTTTACATCACTCAAATAATATGCAGCACACTGAATTTCCACATAATTAATAATATAAAATCAGAGTAACTGTCATAAAAGAACAACCTTTAATTCCACTCAATGTCCGTCCTTACTCCTTACATATTTTCTGCCTCGTACCTTAATATTTAATAATGCACTTCCTAACAGCATGGGAGGGAAGGGGAGGGGGGAATGGAAGGCAAATTTATCTACCATATAAACATCCCTGGAAGCTGTAGTCTCTGCTGGTCATAGTAACGAAAAGTAGCTCCTCATGTTTCCACGACATTTGGGTTGGTCTACTCGCCATTGATTTCCTCCCTTGGTGGCCTACACAATGCGTCTCCTCCTCACACGAGGCACACACTCCACCATGAAGATTCACTTACAGACTGCTAGGTGACAACAAACGTTGCTTGGTCTCTTGGGCTTCCTCACACCAATACTGGTCCACTGCCGTAGTCATGTCCCTCATTCGAATCCTTGTCACGCCCCTTGTGGATTTGTTCATTTGATGTATCACGTTAGTGTGATTTCTGTGTGTAATGATGTAAGGGCGAAGAGGGAGAACGGCCTATTGACATAGCTCGAGTGCAGAGGGAGTTGTGTAAAATCCTGGTTTGTGCCTCGGAGAGGCTACGGGATCCAGTAAGTTCACTAGAATTTCGGTTTCAACTCTTTTAACCCTCTCGTAGCTCAGTCGATTAAGGCAGTGTCTGGGATGCTCCCGGACGCAGGTTCGAATCATCGTCACGGCCCTTGTGGATTTGTTCGATTGTGAATGGTCCAGGACGGACCAAAACGTTGTCGTTCCTTCACCTTCTAGTGTGTGGTCTGGTCAACATACTTTAGCCACGTTATTGTGACTCATCGCCTGCTAGTGACGGTTGATTTCCCACCACTACCGCAGGGCTCCCGACGTCACACCTGGGGCACTTCGAGATTGATCTACCTGGCCAAGCCCCTGCCACTGACCAATAATGTACCACCTGGCTCTGTACCCACAATGCTCTGGGGGTCTCCTCAAGCGGAAAAACCTACTCCATTCCGAGGCGCACCACCATTTTAATGGTGGAGATTTTTTTTAAGTAAAAAAACATAAACTACTTCTCGTTGTGGCATCTTGCCTCCTCTAAAGAGTTAAAAAAAAAACTAGGACAACTACTTGGTATTTACAAGGTGGGGAGTATGACTCTTACAGGCGGGAGAGGAGAATACGTGCTGGACTCTCTAACACTATATACAAGATCTTGAGGGAAATAAAGTGGATAAAGAAATCCTATACATATCAATTAAATTAAAAAAGTTTGGTAAAGTTTGGCAGAGAAATACTTGGACCATTTTGGCTGGATTGCCCAAAGATCCAGATTAACCCTTCGGTTGCACATCACATCATATGATGCAGTAGGGAACTACCTATAAATGTTAAAAGTCTTACACATACATGGGGCTCACAGTTGCTTCCTCAGGCCTCCCGTAACATGGCCCCATTTTGACAAAAATCTTTAGTACTGTACCTCGCTTTCCTTTTAGGGCTTTAGTAAAAAATAATGAGGATCATATCTGGCAACATCACCATCCAGTGTGTGAACACGCAGGGTGGCCATACTAGAAGCCACTGAACTTTTATATACAGCAAATGATTACCATTATATATTTCTGGCAGTGTGTGCTATATCCAATTATAAGATTTAAGCTTTTTATATATATACCTAGTGATACCTCCACTTACGAATTTAATCTGTTCCCAGAGATGGATCATAAGTCAAATATTCGTAACTCAAAACTAATTTTTCCCATAAGAAATAATGTCAGTTGAATTAATCTGTTCCACACCCCCAAAAATATTAAGGTGAAAACACACTTTATACCGAATAGCACTTTTTGAACTAGCTACAATACAGTATGTATATCTTACCTTTATTGAGGACTATTTTTGGCACATGAAAGACGGTGAGGAGGGATGGAGGAGGAGAGGTGTTACTGTTTGGAAGGGGAGTCCCCTTCCATTATAACATCAGACAGTGATGACTTCTCTGGGGGTACTCTCTCCTACATTTTGCAGGCATACCACTAGGGCCTGGTTGTGACTCAATGCTTGCTTGTCTAACTAAATATCTCTAAAGACACTTTTTTTCCCTACATTTTAACACTTGTCTGCAGCAAGACATCACATTGTCATTTAAAAAGTCAATGCAGTGGCCTGCTACAGCTTTATCTGGTTGAGTTTTTTCAACAAAACTCTGCAGTTCTTCCCATTCTTCACACATTTTCTTAATGAGGAAGGGACATCCTCTACTTCCTCTACTCAACTATTTTCTTAGGTTGAACCTTACCACAGACTTTCTTGGTACCCATGGCATGATATATATAATAATTACTTTTATGTTCAAAAAGCAAAAAAGCACAAAAACAAAGAAATTCTTTTCAAAGAATTCAAGCACGATCGTTACTAAGTGGGCGGCTCTGGTAAACTGAGGCAGGATCGCCCCTGCCACCTTAGTCGACCCATACGTGTATCAACAAAGTCAGTAGTCAAGGCAAAGGTTATAAGTCAAGTCGCATTTCCAACAAAATTGGGGTCATAACTCAAAAATACTTAAGTCATGTCTCTCACTTAAGTCGAGGTGTCCCTGTCTCTCACGCTCACTCTCTCACACGCTCGTTGCTCGCGCTCTCACACGCTCGCTCGCACTCTCACACGCTCGCTCGCACTCTCACACGCTCGCTCGCACTCTCACACGCTCGCTCGCACTCTCACACGCTCGCTCGCACTCTCACACGCTCGCTCGCACTCTCACACACTCTCCCCACTCTCACACTCCCCCCACTCTCACACTCCCACACTCCCCCCACTCTCACACTCCCACACTCCCCCCACTCTCACACTTCCACACTCCCCCCACTCTCACACTCCCCCCACTCCCACACTCCCCCCATTCTCACACTCCCCACACTCACACATTCACACTCACTCACTCTCTCTCTCACACGCACACATTTGCACTCACTCTGTGTGTGTGTGTGTGTGTGTGTGTGTGTGTGTGTGTGTGTGTGTGTGTGTGTGTGTGTGTGTGTGTGTGTGTGTGTTTTTGTTTGTTTATATATATAAAATTGACGATCACAAAACACTGATCATTTGTATGCGGAAAATCCACAGAGAAATGGAAAAGGAAGATGAACATTTCAACCGATCAAGGCCGTTGTCAACACCAGACTGATGTGATCAGTTGACTGTCTCGACCAGACAGTCGAGTGAATTTGGGAGAATACAAAAAATATTTAGTACTTACCATTGGCATGCGTCTGTAGGACAGCACTCCATCCTTGAAGAAAAGTGACAAATTTTGTTTTGGCAAGACCATCTGTAAACTTTCTGATGGACAATAATCTCGGAGAATACCAGAGAATTCTGGGAGACTCCTCATAGTAGCAACTCGCATCTTTTGGATATCGGTAAGAGGTGGTGATTTTGCTATTTTCACTCTAGGATTTGATGAATTATTAATATTCTTGGAGGATGTACACAAAATTCCTTTTCTGGGTGTATTCTTGGGAGTTTCAGAAGTCCTCAAGCATGTACTGATCTTTGGCCCACTATCAAGTTCACACCGTGAATTTTCTAATTTTGGGCTGGCACCAATAGACTTACTGGAAATGTCTACCAAAGATTCATCACTGGCTGTATGCTGCATCTTGGCGTTTCTTCTTTGTTCCATAAGCCCATTCAACTGTGATCTCCGACGCAGTTTTCGGGATCTTCGGTGGCCTACCCGATTAGCTTCCCCATTAATACTCTCCGTGTCAGTCTCAATACCAGACTCTTCTGTCTCAAGAAGTCTTTGGTGATGTTCAGGAGACAAATATGCCTTTAGCGCTTCACCACTCAAAGCAAATGTTGCAATATCCCCTGAAGCACCGTCGCAAGGACTTACGTCAAGTAACGAGGGGTTCAAGCTGTGTATGGATATTGATGTAGTCAAGCTGTAGTAGTCAAGACTATTCGCGGACATAACTGACTGCCTAGAGTATGGTCGCATTGCTGCTTGATGCATTATTGCTTCGTATTTTCGTCTTGCTGCCCAACCTCTGAAGTACCTTTGTATTGTTAGTGTAGCATTCCGTAACCTCAAATATTTTTGGTGTATGATGAATCTTCTCAAATTTTTCTGAATAAGCAGGCATGAATATTTGAGCTTCTGGTATTTTTGCCTGATTAACCATGATTTGACATTTTTTTGAATTAAACAACATGCAGCTTTATATTTTTGGTATTTTCTGAGACATCTATATTTTCGCCAACCTGCAAGAAAAATAATAAATAAATGCTATATTTAATCAGCATACATTATAAATACTTTTTGCTAATACTGTCTTGTAAGCTAAAATTATTGTTGGGTCAATACCATTTACTAAAATATTTAACTTTCAGATATAAAACAACAGTTTCTGTCCTTTAATAAGAACAAATCCCTCCCAGCCTGCATCACAGAAAGGTGAGATTGAGAGAACCTATAAAGCACCAGATTGTAGCACCATATTCAAACTTGTCCTAGTTCTCTAACACAGAGGCAAGTACCCCACAGCCTGGAATTAACATACATAATGGACCATATGCAGGCGATGAGTCACAATAACGTGGCTGAAGTATGTTGACCAGACCACACACTAGAAATTGAAGGGACGACGACGTTTCGGTCCGTCCTGGACCATTCTCAAGTCGAATCGACTTGACCATTCTCACAATCGACTTGAGAATGGTCCAGGACGGACAGAAACGTCGTCGTCCCTTCAATTTCTAGTGTGTGGTCTGGTCAACATAATGGACCAAATGGAAACCATAACACCTCTTCACTCAAAGCTTCAAATTGAATCATCCTTCCACCAGAGATATGGAGGGACTAGCTGCCGAGTCTGGCCATAAAGCATAATCCCACTCCAAACAATTGCCAAAAAATGAAAGCCACTAGAAAGAGGTTGCTGGTTCTCCCAGGGAAGGATAAAATTGTTTCCCTTCCTCAAAATTCAGGGAAGCAAACAGCTCCAGCTGGAACTCATGATCCAGACATACCCTTTGGGAAATTGGATTACAAAATTGAAGCCTTCAAACATTCTCCTTCAAGAGCCTGAAGCCCTTAAGATCCCATAGCCAGAGGAGAAGAAATGCAAGCCAGGTGCTTCCCACCCACCATAGTACCAGCCAAAGCAACACTGAGGTCCTGAAGTCGAGACTCAGAAGTAGACTGAACCTTGAAAAGCTAAATACTCAAGAAAGAATCCTGGAATGACACCCCTCAATGGAGAAATAAAACCTCCAGCATCAATATTTCAGCATTCGAGCCCTCATCTTAGCAGCCCATGCCTAAGAAACTAACCAAATGGTATACTTTAGAAAAGCTGATATCTGGGCAGTAGTCAGTATTATGTAATGGACAAGGAAAAGTGGATAGATCAACCCAGAACAATTCTAAAACCTGACTGAGTAATATTTACCATTATATTTGAGCTGAAATCACATTGCAATCTTGTGATTTTTCTAAGTAAAATTAGTATTAAAATCAAGCCACAAATAAAATAATAAAATGGATTATAGATAAATCAATAGCAATACCACCCAGTATTTTGTATTCTAAACATTTCTACTAATATACAAGAGGCATTTTATAATAAACATGCTATATATATATATTTTAATTATAGTATGTATACATAGGCTAATATTATTTCTTGTTAAGCTTTTAAATTGTTCTTTTCCAATTATATATCAAATAGTTCCCAACATGATAATTCCCATGTTGATGGTACAACAAAACAATATAACTCACATTTCTGAAGGCAAGTGGCAGCTTGGTTTCTCTTTTCTTCACGAACTATCTCTAATGTATGGAGAGCACTCTCGGAGAGAAACACGCGGGTATTTCCAAACCTGCAACAAAATGCAAATCACTTCAAATTAAAAAATACTCCATATCCGCTATATACTGATGGTGAATATGCTTCTTTTAGGTGAAATACTTGACTCTGCAAGCTACATGCAATCATTTGCATATTTCTTAATAAGGTTTACTACAATCTAAAAATGTAAACATGTTTGACAAGCTTAAAATTTCCCTTGTTGTTGTTTAAGATTCGCTACTTGGAACAAAAAGTTCCAAGCGGCACGGGCTACGGTGAGCCCGTGCTGCTTACTTCCCATCCACCCCGTTTCTTCCTGATGCATACCTCAATTTGTTTAAATATATCATGAGTTCGAATGATATTCAAACTCCCGAACATTGATGTTCGTGAGTGATGAGCACAATTCCGCTGGTGCAGTAGTAAAGCACTCACCCGGCACTTCGTGAGCGCTGTGGTATGGGTTCGTACACAGAAGCCAAGGTAGCAGTCCTAGTGAACAGTCACTACAAATGGGCTCTCTTTTCCAGATGTGACAGATCTACCTACCTGCTTGATGGGGTTCTGGGAGTTCTTCTACTCCCCAAGCCCAGCCCAAGGCCAGGCTCAACTTGTGAGAGTTTGGTCCACCAGGCTGTTGCTTGGAGCGGCCCGCAGGCCCACATACCCACCACAGCCCGGTTGGTCCGGAACGTCTTTTAGAAAAGTCTAGTTTCCTTTAAACTTGAAACTTCCTCTAAACTAAACTTGAAACTTTCTCTAAACAAAACTTCTCTTTCAGCCTAAATCAGATAGAACCAACAGTACAACTGTAACTGTAGCAAACAGTAGAACCAACAAGGAAATGCCCCTAGATCTTATTTTCACAAACAATGATGAACAGATTAGGGACATAATGATTACAAATGTGTGTTACTCACATCACAACCTACTTGAAGTTCAGACATTCATGGGCAATAGACTTGTGCACTCAGTCTCAAATCCAAGAGGAGGATAATTCAGCAAATTCAATTATAATAAATGATTAACTGGGGAAAAAATAAACCAATATCTTGCAGAAATATGCTGGGAAAAACAGCTAGATAAAAAACTTGTGTCTTGAGAAAATAGGCACAGTAGCACTAGAAATGTAAGTTGCATACCACTGAGAAAAAAAAATGGAAACTGGAATGAAAATGGAAATTCCCTATATAAGTGGCGAAAACAAATCACAGAATGCCTCAAACGCTCCACACTATCCCCAGAGTGGCTAAGAAAGCTATTTATAGAAACAGAAACTATCGAGCTAAAGTTGCAAGAATCCTATAAAATCCAGGAGAGGCAAAGAGCAAAAAGCCATAGCTGAAATAAAAGGGATCTAAAATACTTTTTCTCCTATGCAAAATATAAAACAAAAACTATAGCCTGCATTGTGGCCTTGTGCAAGGGTGATGGAACCTTCACAGATTACAACAAAAAAATGAGTGAAATACTACTAAGGCTACAGTGTGATTCTTTTTTCAGCGAGTCCCCTAACACATTGAAGATCAATGATCCAAACAAACTCTTTATGAATGTACCACCACCCTCAAATGTTACATTAGATGTCACCCTAACTCCACTCAACTTTTGAAGTTGTTGTAGACAGCATGCCCATGCACTCTGCAACAGGCCCAGACTCCTGGAATTCTATATGCACCAAGAATTGCCAAGAAACAAAACAAAAATATCACAGGCCCTAAACATCTTTTGAAGACTGAGCCTAGATACTGATGTTATCCCAGACACTTAAAACAAAGGAGGTAGTAAAATAGCTGTAAAAAATAATAGCCCAATAGCCCTAATATCATACAGCATTAAAAATCTCTGAAAGAGTGCCAAGAAGATCACAAAACCCCCTGAATCACAATGTCTACATAACCCCGGGCAACATGGGTTCAGGAAAGGGCACTCCTGCATCTCTCAATTAATAGACCACTATGACATGCCTTGGATGCCATGGAAAATGAGCAAAATGTTGATGTAACATACACCGATTTCACAAAAACTTTTAGACAAATGTGACCATGGTGTTATTGCACACAAAACACACACTAAAGGAATTACTGGCAAAGTAGGGAAATGGATCTTTAACTTCCTAACAAATAATACCCAGAGGTTAAAGAGTCAACAAAGTCAAATCTGGACCATCCATCATGAAAAACTCAGTCCCCTGAAGGTACCATGCTTGCTTCAGTACTTTTTCTTATCCTCATATTAGACACAAATAAGGATAAACTATAGTACTGTATCATCTATTGCAGATGACATTAGAATTTTTACGAGTGGACAATATAGAGGACACAGCAAACCCTCAATTTAATGTTAATAAAATAAATAACATTATGTTTAATGAGGATAAGGTCCAATTACTGCACTATGGAAAAAAAACTAAAATATCAAAACAGAAACATTTATAAAATACAGTCAAACCACACTATTGAAAGAAAAAGCAATGTAAAAGATTTAGGAGTAATCATGTTGGAACACCTTACTTTTAAAGAACACAACAAAGTAGCTGTTACAACTGCAAGAAAAATGACAGATTGGATAACAAAAACCCTTCAAACAAGAGATGCCATGCCAATGATGATACTTCTTAAGACATTAGTACTCTCATTATTAGGGTGGAATATTGTTGCACATTAACAGCCCCAATTCAGAGCTGTAGAAATTGCTAATCTAGAGCTGGAGTGTGCGCGCCAAGATCTTTTACTGCTAGAATCCGTTCGATAAAACATCTAAATTTTGGGACCCCCTTACAAATTTTAAATCAGTACTCTCTCGAGTACTGTGGCAGGACGGGGAAGAGAGATATAATAATTTACACTTAGAAAAAATACTAGAAGGACTTATTCTAAAAATGTATACAGAAATAACACCACATGAGACCAGAAGGCATGATAGGATGTGTAAAACAGCTCCATGAAAAGGGGAGATGCTGAGAGAGAACTTGATCAACATCAAATGCCCAAGGCTTTTCAACACTCTCCCCCTACCCATATGGGGTATAACAGGCCAACCTCTCACAGTGTTCAAAAAAGAACATGACTAATACCTTCAAAGGATACCTGGTCAACCAGGCTCTGACTCATATGCTGCCACATCAAACAGCCTGGTTGATCAGACTACCAACCAGGAGGCCTGGTCAGAGACCAGGTCGTGGGGGATGTTGATCCTCAATATCATCGACAGGAGTCTCCTCCATAGGTCACAATCCAACCAATCCTCTCGAATAGTACATCACATTTTAACATATAAATCCCCTAAAACCAAAAATTGATGTGTTAAAAATCACGACGGTTCGCAAAAATTGACGTGTGTCTTATTTTCTTTTCATGGGTATTGGTTTGGCTAGGTTTGGGCAATTTAGTACATCAGTTTAGTGACATTGGCAATGCTCAAGATGACAAGCCACATATTCTATATTTTCTATCACACACAAAACTGCACAAGAGTACAGTAACAAAGGGTATGTACTGGAAAAAATCCTCATGAATAATGAGGAGACCTTTTGACATGGTCAAAGGTCTTCTCTTCCTATCCTCATCGAGGACACTAAAGATAGTAGACCTCAGACAAATTCACACTAAATATTTAGAAGCAGAACAACAATAATAATCTCAGTTTAAGATAAGTACAGTTAAAGTATGTATCCATTTTGAGAAGGGAATATGTAAACAAAATATACTGAAATATGTATTGGAACAAATTTGTCTGCTTCCTAAGATCAAGAAAACACTATACAGGTTAACTATAATATGCATTTAATTTCTACCTGATGCTTACCTCTACTCGTATCATTATAGATCCAAAGCTCAATACAGTACAGGGTAGATTCATCATAATTAACTTACTAGACAAAGCTTAAAGTAGCAAAAATGTAAACTGAATACCTCACCTGCATTTATCAGTGTCAATATCTCCATCTATTGTTCCAAGAACAGATTTGGCAAGTGCAATACACGATGCAACATCGGCACTGCTTCTTGGTCCGCCATACCGAGTGTAGAAGTCAGCATATGATATTCTGTAAAGAATAAAAATATAAAGTTAATGGCTTATGCGAGACTGATCTACTGAAACTGCCCACAATTACACACTAAATTTTACAAGGACTGTCATAAATTAATATTCAGTATAGAATATTTATTCTGAGAACTTTATTTACAAGAATTGTAGAAATGGATTATATCTGGGCAGGTGCCATCAGTTGCTTCCCCCGATCCCTTTTCCCTAAGCAGCTTACAGCACTGATGTTATGGAGACACCTTCAACTTGCTATTGTTGTAACACTGTCAAATGGACAAATCCACAAGGGCCGTGACGAGGATTCGAACCTACAGTGGTACCTCGGAATGCGATTGTCCCTGTATGCGAGGTTTTCGGAAGGCGAGCAGTATTTACTCCAAAAATTTGTCTCAGAAGGCGAGGGTTACTTCGTGACGCGAGTTTGTTGATACGCGTACAGGCCGACCTAGCGCGTGGTGGTTCGGCGATCGTCGCCCCTCCGCCCCGCCGCCCCTCAGTTTACCATTGTCTCGCGCTCAGTGACTACCCCCACATCAATTCTTCTCGCGGATTTTCAGTGTTTTGTTGGATTTTTGGTGATTTGTCTATACAATTTGTTGTTATATATCTCACCATGGGTCCCAAGAAAGCCAGTGGTAAGGATAAAGGCCAGAAAGCTCATGTGAGGATGACAATAGAGGAGAAACAAGAGATCATTCGGAAGCATGAGAACGGTACACGTGTTGTTGAACTTTGTAGGCAGTACAACAAAGCCACATCAACAATATGCACTATACTTAAGAAGAAAAATAAGATTAACAAATAAAAAATAAGATTATAAAAATAAGATAAGAAAAATAAGATGGAAAAGTTGTTATTAATTTGGATACACGACAAGGAGTTGAGGGGTGATAGTGTTTCGGAGGCCATTATTTGTGAGAAAGCCAGGGTGTTGCACGAAGACCTTCTAAAGAATACCCCTGCAACGAGTGATGCAGATAAGAAAGAGTTTAAGGCAAGCAGGGGCTGGTTTGAAAAATTTAGAAAGAGAAGTGGTATCCATAGTGTTACAAGGCATGGGGTTATGTGATGTGATTATGGAAGGGGACTCCCCTTCCAAACAGTAACTCCTCTCCTCCTCCCCCCTCCTCACCATCTTCCATACGCCTACAGCACTCGACAGCAAGGTAAGTAATAACTGGAACACAGTTTTGTAGGTTTATTTAGATGAATTAGGTAAATTAGGTATAAAAATTTAGTTTGATGTGGGGTTTTTGGGGTAGTCAGGAACGGATTAATTCATTTCCCTTTATTTCTTATGGGGAAATTAACTTCGGAATGTGAGTTTTCGGAAGGCGAGGCGTCTCCAGGAACGGATTAAACTCTTATTCTGAGGTATGCCTGTACGTCCGAGATCATCCCAGACGCTGCCTTAATCGACATTTGTTCATTGATGCATCACGTTATTGTGATTTCTGTGTGTACTGTCAAATGGATGCAAGTATTGTACCATTATGATTTTCTCTTGCCTTTCAACAGGGTAGAGATGCACACAAAGATCATAGATTAACTCACATCTGCGGTAAACCACTCACACTAATTAAAAAGTGACTAAATACTTGCCAAGCCAACTAACAAAAAAATAACAATCTGCTACCTATTGGTTAGATTATGATTGACTTGATTTATTTTTAATACTGACAAGTACAACACAGTACATTCTAATTTGTTTACAATTTGCTGTGTAAATGGTACTGTACACCTTCTTGGCCTGCCTCCTCAAGACTAAATGAATATGATTTGTTCCATAACTTGTATCAACATACATTTTTCTACAAACAGTACCTGCATCCTCAATTTAAAGTGTTAGGCAGACTCCTTTTATTCTATAACCTACCGCCATATATTTTCCATTCTAATTGCTAAAGTTAGAACAATCACAACCTCATGATGGCTCTGGCCACATTTTCTACCATGTCCATCCAGCCTAAAGGATAACCCAGGGATTTCACTACCCTAAACTGCTTTCCTACCATTTCCAACCCAAGATTTTCACTGCACCAGAACTTAATGGAATTATGTAGTGAGGAAAATACAGGAAGACTGATTACAGAAATAGATGTACTAAAGAGACGGGTGGGCAACGAAGAGAGCGAGAGTTGAAGAGAAGCCGAGGATGGACATACAGTACAAGAAATTTGAGAAAAGGAACAGGGAGACGAAATAACTACATTAGACGGAAGGTGGTAAAGGTGAGGAAAATACAAGAAAAATTAAGTCATTTGAAGGATGAGAAACAAAACCTTTACAGCCGTGTTTATATACACAAAAGTTGGTATAAAAATAAAATGTCATAAACCACCAAGAAGTCCTCCTCCTTTTTTGGGTCTATTCCTGATCATCATCTAATAATATCAACATAAAATATATACAAAATTAATGAATATATGAGCAATAATAAATTTTGTAAAGAATCTCAGTTCACAAAACTCACCTAATTGGATAACCAGCCTGGCTAATGCAGACTGTCTCAATAACTCCACAGGCTTTCAGCTGGTGCAGTGTATAATCAGAATCAATCGTGCCTAAGAGAAGAAAAAAACTATTATAATTCAGTTATCTCTCAGTTGCTCAGTTGGGTAATATAATCTGGTTTGGGATTTTGTTAGAAACTTGAGTTTTGTTGTGCTATGGGCTTATGCTATGTGATTTTTCCCATGTGAAAAGACAAATATTTTGTATCTGTACTTTAATTAAACAGTTGCTCAATGCTACCTTCTTTGCACCTAGTTTGGGTCATGTTCCTGTACTGGTGATTATCCTTTATGTTCCCACTCCATTCAAGGTCATGCCCTGGGGGTCATGACCTTGTACTGTGGGTTTTGTATCCTTTATTTTGTTGAAGGTCTTCATTTTTACCCTACCTAAGTACCTGGAATTTATCACCTTTAAACATATTTTCTGCTGCCTAATCAAAAACTTTATATCAATTTGTAGTTTTTCAATGTCTTCTACAGAAATAATTTTAATGCTGATTTTATGTCATCTGCAAAAGATGACACAAAGCTGTGACTGGTCTTTTTGTCTATATTCGATATGAGACTAAGGAAAAGCAGTGGTGCAAGGACTGGTCAGCTTTACTGATTGACTTCTTTTACTGCTGATTGTTTTTGATACTGTAGCCCAATATGACTGCCTGGTCCCTTCCCCCTCCTCCCTTGTCATAATATTGTTTATCTGTTGTTGATCTGGAGTCAAGCTGATATTTGTTCCATTTGACTTGGTGATACAGATGGTTCTGGTATATTGGTTCCACCTATACATTGGGCCATGCATTTGACCTCTTATGTACTCTTTCCCCATTTAAAGAAAATAGACACCACCCTTATAATGAAAAGTAATGTACGATAACTTTAAAAATTGCCTGAAAATTGTATATCAAGGAACTGGCATGCAAGGATTTAAAAACTTTAGTATAATTCCTGCTTTCAAGGACAGGAAGCCTGTACTTCGATTTATCGAGGTCCCACCTAACCCGACTTCTGACCTTCCCCAGGATGCAACCCACATTAATTGCCAAACTTCCAGGTACCTATTTGCTGCTAGGTGAGCTTAAGCATCAGGTAAGGTAATTATCAGGAGTAAGCACAAAGCCATTATGACTATATTGCATTTGGAAGGAATATGAGGATAAGGATTTAGGATAGGATGGAGGACAGGAATGGTACCCGACCACTAGGAAAGTCAGATTGAATGCCAAACTGCAATTAGCGTGACTGTCACTCTATCATCCAGTCCAAGTGGTCGAGTGTAAGGTAAAAGGAAACTTGCCAATCATTTTTGTCCCTGGGATCGAACTTGAGAGTTTTTTGGTTGTGTATCAACGATGTAGCCCACTCCTGTTATTCATGATTTTCTTTTATCATGTTTCTTTCTTGCTAGCTTCCCCCTTCAAACAACTTTTAGATTTTTCAGCCTTCAAATTCTCACATTGGACTATTTTTTAATAGTTACACCAATAAATATAAATATATGTATAGACTGTACTGTATACACCAAAATTAGATTACACTTAATTCCATTATCTTACTCAGAACTAAAATTACATCACTATCATTCTCTCACAAATTATGTAACACTCCACTTATTAGGCACTCGAAACATCAACTTCCTATGGTGTCACATGACAACTATTTTCATCTAATTTTCTTTCAGTTTATTTCAGAAAACAATTATTTTTTAGATTCTCCATTTGTTATGAATACTACTTAAAGGAAATATGCCTCATTTCTTCTTTACGTAAGTAAGAAATTAATTTAGAATGGAAAAATCACAGCACTTTAAAAATTTATTAGAAATGGAAAAATCATCTTGGTTATATAGTTTGCCTATTTAATGAGTAATTTTTTAACAAATCTTACCTGGCATAGATTTTTCACTGGGCTTTATACAACGTACAAAGTGTAAATCACACTCGGACAAGGTTTTCATCAACATATCCAAGGATGACTTGAACTTTGAGAGCGTAGTAATTTTGCGTGTTGTTCGTCTTCCAGTTTCGGCATGTAGACTCTCTGTTCCCACTGTTAAGCTGCTAATAAAATCTTGATTACTTCCGGCTAGCAGTCCCCAGACTTCATGGGGAACCTAGAGACACATTGTCACATGAATTAAATACATTAAATTAGTTCTTTAAAAAATATGTAGGTACATCAATATAAATTTAACACTTTCGCGCTTTCCGCGAAGGTCACTCAGCCAACCGAATGTGCGCGCGGCGTTTTTATCGCTTAAGCGTAAAAACAAAAATGTGTATACTCTTTTTACTCTTCTGACCTTAGTTCTCATGCTACGTATTTCATTTTGGTACCAACGTGTTCGCAATAAAATTCTCTAGAAGAACATCAGTAAAAAAAGTCACGAAACGTATAGGGATACCAGCACCAAATAAATAACTACGAAGATGACTCGCCGTGAGCGCCCATCAGCAACAAAATGTTTTTACTCTTGGGATTGTAATCACCTCCACACTTATTCTACAGCGTTAATTTTGGTATCAATGGACTCGCAATGAAATTCCCAACACGGTGATATGAATATAATCGTAGAATAATGATGCGGCCAGCCCGCAAGAGTGTGGGAAGTGGTGAAATTGTTACCCGGTATCGGTGACGGGACGACGCACGGCGCTTTGAAAGTTTATACTTATTTCACTCTCATGACATTAATTTTCTATGTACGTCATTCATTTTTGTGTCAATGTGTTCGCAATAGAATGTTCTATGTGCCCATAGGTAAAAAATATCAACAAAGCGTAAGTTAGAATAGCGCCAAATATAAAACAACGCTGGAACATATCAGTGAGCGTCAAACACACACGAAATGTTTTTACTTTTGTTATGTTTGTCAAGTTTATACTTGTTGCACACAGTTATTTTTGGTTGTATATTGATCGGAATAAAATTCCCTAAACAGACATATGCATATAATACATGATATGGGGGAAGCATTACCAGTATAAACGGCTAAAGTCACCCACCTGCAACCCGTTTGGGACAAAATACCATTTGATCGAAGTTATCCACACCTTTCATGAAATTATTGTACCATGCAGCCTAGTGGTGAGAAAGAGAGCCTCATAGCGCGCAGTTTGAAACAAACCCAAAGTAAATCGGATAAAAATTGAATTTTATACAAATATTTTAAAAGAGGACTCAACTTTATGTCCACTATGCGTTAGCGTTAGACGAAACGGGACGCGCCGGCGTGTCCAGATAGCGCGAAAGTGTTAAGCAATACAGCAGTGTCGAACCACACGCCGAATTTTCATACCTCCTCTCCCTCTACATCCGCTTCCTCTTCCAGAATTTCACCTCATCCTTTCCAAACCATTTGGACATCAAAGCTCAACACCTCAGAGGTGTGGGTGCAATACCATTGTATGGCCTCGATACTTATTCATAGTCATCGTATTATTGTGATTTAATTGTACATATATACATCAAACAGCATGCATTTTCATTATGCTACAAATACCACACACTACTGTGTTGATGAATTTATTACTCTACTGTACAATAAAATTAATAGGTAAAGCACTAACAAAAGTTTGCACTGGGTTAGGTAGGTTTGGTCGTATTTCTGTTAGATTTAACTCAAAAAAAATTATATCATATAAGGGAAAAAAGCTTTATCATTTCAAAGGAAATTTTTTAGAAAAATATGTAACTATGAAAACTCGGATTATTAGGCAAACCAGGCCTTGCATAGTAGGCCATGAAGTGCATTCTGGCTATTATACACACACACACACACACACACACACACACACACACATATATACACACACATAAATGAGGTCATATTCCCAAGGGGCTACTCAATTTGGAGACGGGACAGAAAAATTAGGAAAGGCGGTGGCGTTGCTGTGCTGGTAAAAGAACACCTAAAGGTGAAGGAAATAATGACTGCCAATCCACAAGAAGTTGACTTAATAGCACTAGAGATCTGCTATGAGGATGATAAACTAATGATGATAAATGCATATAGTCCACCGCCAAGCAGCACATGGTCAAAGGAGGAGCTAGATAGTAAACGTGAAGGTCTTATAACAATAATGAGAGAGATTATAGCGAGAGCGGATAACGATAGATCACGACTGTTGATAGTCGGTGACTTCAACTTGAAATCCATAGACTGGGAAGCATATGAAGCTAAAACAGAAGATTTTTGGACCTGTAAATTTGTAGACCTCATCCTGGAAACATTCTTGTATCAACATGTTAAACAAGCTACGAGGATGAGGGAAGGGGACGTTCCCTCCATGCTAGATTTGATATTTACCAGGAAGGAGGAAGAGATATTTGACATTCAGTACCTTCCTCCCTTGGGTAAAAGTGACCATGTCTTTTTGGGAATAATGTATGCAATGCGTTATAAGCTGGAAGAAAATAAGGAGGTTGAAGCAGTTGAAAAACCAGACTTCAGGAGAGGACATTATGGTGACCTTAGAAATTTTTTTAGTGAGTATAATTGGACAGACTTGATGCTAGGCAAGGAAGTGAATGAGATGTATGGCAAGTTTTGTGAAATATATGATAAAGGCACAAAAAAATTTATACCAAAACAGAGATGCAGAACTAGGAAACAGGATTGGTTCAATAGAAATTGCGAGAGGGCTAGAGACCGAAAGACACAAAAATGGAATCAATACAGGAAGAGGCCGAACCCCCAAACATACCAGCGATACAAAGATGCGAGAAACAACTACACGGCAGTGAGGAGAGAGGCAGAAAGAAATTTTGAAAAAGGGATTGCGGACAAATGTAAAACAGAACCAGGTCTATTCTATAAATTCATAAACAACAAATTGCAGGTAAAGGACAATATTCAGAGGTTGAAAATGGGAAATAGATTCACGGAAGATGAAAAGGAAATGTGTGAAACACTAAACGAAAAGTTCCAAAGTGTGTTTGTACAAAATGAAATCTTTAGGGAACCAGATACAATAAGAATTCCAGAGAACAACATAGAACACATAAAGGTGTCTAGAGACGAAGTGGAAAAAATGCTCAAGGAGCTCGGTAAGAACAAAGCAGCTGGCCCAGATGGCGTTTCACCATGGGTTCTGAGAGAATGTGCATCTTAGCTCAGCATTCCACTTCACCTGATCTTTCAGGCATCCCTGTGTACAGGAATCGTAGCAGACGGGTGGAAACAGGCTAACATAGTTCCAATCTACAAAAGTGGCAGCAGGGAAGACCCCCTCAATTATAGACCTGTATCATTGACAAGTGTAATAGTGAAAGTATTGGAAAAACTAATCAAAACTAAATGGATAGAACACCTAGAGAGAAATGATATAATATCAGACAGACAGTATGGTTTTCGATCTGGAAGATCCTGTGTATCGAATTTACTCAGTTTCTTTGATCGAGCCACAGAGATATTACAGGAAAGAGATGGTTGGGTTGACTGCATCTATCTGGACCTAAAAAAGGCTTTCGACAGAGTTCCACATAAGAGGTTGTTCTGGAAACTGGAAAATATTGGAGGGGTGACAGGTAAGCTTCTATCATGGATGAAAAATTTTCTGACTGATAGAAAAATGAGGGCAGTAATCAGAGGCAATGTATCAGAATGGAGAAATGTCACAAGTGGAGTACCACAGGGTTCAGTTCTTGCACCAGTGATGTTTATTGTGTACATAAATGATCTACCAGTTGGTATACAGAATTATATGAACATGTTTGCTGATGATGCTAAGATAATAGGAAGGATAAGAAATTTAGATGACTGTCATGCCCTTCAAGAAGACCTGGACAAAATAAGTATATGGAGCACCACTTGGCAAATGGAATTTAATGTTAATAAATGTCATGTTATGGAATGTGGAATAGGAGAACATAGACCCCACACAACCTATATATTATGTGAGAAATCTTTAAAGAATTCTGATAAAGAAAGAGATCTAGGAGTGGTTCTAGATAGAAAACTATCACCTGAGGACCACATAAAGAATATTGTGCAAGGAGCCTATGCTATGCTTTCTAACTTCAGAATTGCATTTAAATACATGGATGGCGATATACTAAAGAAATTGTTCATGACTTTTGTTAGGCCAAAGCTAGAATATGCAGCTGTTGTGTGGTGCCCATATCTTAAGAAGCACATCAAAAAACTGGAAAAGGTGCAAAGACATGCTACTAAGTGGCTCCCAGAACTGAAGGGCAAGAGCTACGAGGAGAGGTTAGAAGCATTAAATATGCCAAAACTAGAAGACAGAAGAAAAAGAGGTGATATGATCACTACATACAAAATAGTAACAGGAATTGATAAAATCGACAGGGAAGACTTCCTGAGACCTGGAATTTCAAGAACAAGAGGTCATAGATTTAAACTAGCTAAACACAGATGCCGAAGAAATATAAGAAAATTCACCTTCGCAAATAGAGTGGTAGACGGTTGGAACAAGTTAAGTGAGAAGGTGGTGGAGGCCAAGACCGTCAGTAGTTTCAAAGCGTTATATGACAAAGAGTGCTGGGAAGACGGGACACCACGAGCGTAGCTCTCATCCTGTAACTACTCTTAGGTAATTACTTAGGTAATTACACACATATATGCAAACAAGCCTGAATGGTCCCCAGGCATACATGCAAGCGAAAACTCACATATATATATAAATATACACAGGCTTCCTGTCCCTGACAAAATTAATTATAAAAACAATCACATATGGTGACTTGAGCCGAGGAGGTAATCATGGAGAGTGACTGGAGCAGCGTATGGGTTAGGAGGTGACTAGCTAGATGTAGCGGTATTTAAACATTTAAAACAAATTAACAGGTAGTACATGTATTAAAATCAATAATAATCTTGGTATTAAGTTGCAATAAAGCAGAAAAGCAAGACATGAGCTCACTAGTCTAATAAATGCATCCCAGTTTGTGCCTCAAATAAAACCAAAGGCATAAAATCTTTCCATGCAAAACAGAGTTTCTACTGTACAAATTAAAGTACAATATGCAGAGATTAAGTCAAAATAACAGGGTTGTAACAAATAACTCAACCCAGATACATATGAAATGAAGGTGATGACCTTTTGATCTGTCCAGGACCCTTATATGATGATGTTTCGGTCTCTCCTGGACCCTTATGTGATTTATGTCATGTTGTTTCAGTCTGTCCTGGACCCTTATGTGATGTTTCAGTCTGTCCTGGACCCTTATGTGATGTTGTTTCGGTCTATCCTGTACCCTTATGTGATGTTGTTTCGGTCTATCCTGGACCCTTATGTGATGTTTCGGTCTGTCCTGGACCCTTATGGGATGTTGTTTTGGTCTGTCCTGGACCCTTACGTAATGTTTCAGTCTGTCCTGGACCCTTATGTAATGTTTCAGTCTGTCCTGGACCCTTATGTGATGTTTCAGTCTGTCCTGGACCCTTATCAAGGAACCCAGGACAAATCAAAATGGCATCACTTCCATTTTCTTTCATGGATGTAAGTTGGGTTATAAAATACAGAATGAAAGTATTTCACATATTAATGCTCAAATTTCAGTAGCATTATAACTCTTTGGGACTCACTTCATCTTTATTCTTGTGCAGTAGACCTTCTGCATCATATTTGACAAGTCCAGCATAATGATGGATGACAAAGCCAGGTGTGTGCCGAGGTGACAGAGGTGCGCACACAACGCCAGTATGTTCCAACGCTTTGCACACTCGATCACATGCCTCATCCTCCTTCACATCACGCTTTAATTGGCACTCCTGTATAAAAAGCAGTTATGTATTATTAAAATCCACAATGCTAAACCCAACCATTTAACAGTCTAGCTAACTATTTTAACTATCAAAATAACAAATTACAATATACAAAAACAAAAAAATTGTCATGCACAGCTGAAAATAAGTCAGTCATTCATATATGTGCAGAAATCTCTCATAACGTTAATTTCTTACATACATTTTTAATACATTTTATCACAAGACCATATACTGTACAGTAATCATGATACAACAGCGTCAAATTTAACAGTGCAGTACTTACATTATTAGCATTAAGAGCCATGATGCATGTAAATATAGAGTATCAAGTTGGATAAAAGCAAAAAACTCCCAACAAAAAGTTATCAATTATACAAAGAGAGAATGTTTGTCTGTGTCTGTCCTAAGTTGGAGAACAGACGCTTGGGCTAGCCTTAACCAAATTTGCAGGGAAAATAGCCTGGGGGGATGGGACGGCTATAGACTGGTCAGAGTAGGTCTAAATTAAATGCTTAAAGAAATCTTAGTTTTTATAGCCTCCCCTTGTGATTTTAATAGTCAAGTAATTACCTAAGTGTAATTACATTAGTACAGTTACAAGGATGAGAGCTACACTTGTGTCCCATCTTACCAGTAATCTGTCGTATGATGCTTTGAAACTACTTGTGTGGTTTTGGCATCCACCACTACCTCACTTAGCTTGTTCCAACCATCTTCCACTCTGTTTACAAAAAGAGAGCTTTCTAATATTTTGGGGCAGCCTTTTGTTTACTTTGCTTGAACCCTTGACTTCTGGTTCTTGAATTCTTGGGTTTGAAGAATTCCTTTTTGCCAGTCTTGTTGATTCCTGTTACTATTTTGTATGTAGTGACCATATGGCCTCTGTTTCTTCTGTTAAATTTCATGCTTCTAGCCTCTCCTCATAGCTCTTGTTTTTCAGTTCCAGAAGCCATGTCATAGCATGCCTTTACACCTCCAGTTTACTGATGTGCTGCTTCAGAATATGGTTTTCATACAACTACTGTACTACATATTCCAATTTTGACCTCACAAAAGTCATGAACCACTTCCTTAATATTTCACAATTCATGTGCTGTATTTACAGTAAATGTGATTTTGATATTAGAAAGTGTAGCATATGCTTCTCCCACAATGTCCTTTATGTGGTCCTCTCGTGATAGTCTACTATCCTCAATCACCCCTAGATCTCTCTCTTTTTGTCAAAGTTTCTTCTTACTTTGACTTAGTATGTTAAGTCTTAGATGATAATTATCTAAGTCTTATATTCCCTGGTAGCTTGGCATTATCAGCAAACGTGTGCATACAGTTCTGTATTCCTACTGGTAGAGCATTTATATAGATGAACATTACTGGTGCACGAACTGAAGCCTGTGGTATTCCGCTAGTAACACTACCTCTCTTATACACTGCCTCTGATTACTGCCCTTATCTTTCAGTTACAATTTTTCCTCTAAGTATGAAATATTTGGTGTGATTCCTCAAGAGTTTTTCATCATAATATATTTTCTGAGGGACGTACACACTTATATAGTTATTTCAGTGCTTTTTAATAATACATTTTATGGGAGAAGTGGTAGGGTGGGGAAAATAGGGGGAGGAGGTGGTGAAAGTGGAGAAAGACAAGGAGAGGAACAAAATGGGACTTCTTGAATTTTCTGAGAGAAGGGGGAGGGGGAGCAAGCAGGGGGGGAAAGGGAGTGGGGGAAGAGAAGGAAAATGATGGGGGGAAGGGATGGAAAATGAAGAGGGGGGAGATGGGGGTGAAGGGGGGTGGAAGGAGATAGGGAGAAGAGGGGGGAAAAAGGGTGACACACACACACACTCACACTCATAGGGGCCCTGATAGCTGAGTGGACAGCGCTCGGGATTCATGGTCCTAAGGGTCCAGGTTCGATCCCTGGCCGAGGCGGAAACAAATGGACAGAGTTTCTTTCACCCTGATGCCCTGGTTCACCTAGCAGTAAATAGGTACCTGGGAATTAGACAGCTGTTATGGACTGTTTCCTGGGTGTATGTGTGCAAAAAAAAAAAAAAAAAAATTGATTGATAGACAGTTCAGAGGCAGGCCAAAAGAGCCAGAACTCAACCCTCACAAACACAACTAGGTGAATACACAAACTCACTCTCACACACTTGACCAAAGAGCCAGAGCTCAACCCCCACAAGCACAACTAGGCAAGTACTCTCTCACACTCACTCTTTAACATACACACACACACTTGCTCTCTCTCTTTGTATAAGAAGAACTGTTACACGTTTGTACCAACCTCGTTGAGAATGGCAAAGACCGAGACCCGGGAATCTAGGGCCATGACGCAGCTCGAGTTATCAGTATAAGGTACATCCAGGCCAAGGAAGCCCTCTTCTTTAAGCATCTGCAAATAAAAAAATGTAATTTAAGGGGGCGTCTGGTTATTATAATGAAAGTTGTTCAATGTCAACCAATATTATTTTTCTAGTTGTATATGAAAAGTGCTTAAATTGTCCCAAGTTTCAGTACTGCAGCGTAAATAGAAAGGGAGTTTTTTTTTTTTTTTTTTTTTTTGAACGTTTTTTACACATTTTCAAGTCCACACTTCAGAACACACGTTTCAGATAAAATTATTCTGCGACACTTTTCTGACACATTAGCATATAATAAAGGATTGGGGGATTTAGAATTTCCAAAACATCTTTAGTTTTCCTAATACAAATGTTCAAAGTTCCCCAAAAATTTTTTGCAAATATGGCATGTTTATTGCTATTATAAAATCAATAAGTGAACTTAGAGAAAAATGAAAGCCCCCTAATGTAGAGACATGCCCTCCACATATACTGTGTAAGTTTCATGTAAATTGAATAAAAAAAGAATGAGTTTTGTAAACGTTTGTGTCAATTGAAAAAAAAACAGAAATGAATAAAGTCTAAGGTTCTAAAATCTGTGGCTGGGTTTGACATCAACCAATTTTCTCCAAAATTGGCATCATTACAGATAGGCTTACGTACAGTCAGGTGTGTAAGTTTGATGCAAATCGCCCCCCAAAAAATGAAAAAAAAAATATTTAAAAAAAAAAAAGAAAAAAAAAATCCTTTTTTTTTTTTTCCTTAAATTTTTTTTCCAATTAAACTAATAATAATATTTGTTTAATATATGCTATTGTGATAGCAAAGAGTTGTAGTTATGATTTCAGTTGACACTTTTGATTGATAATCGATTTTGACCATTTTTGCATAATTTTCACAACTACTTCAATATTTTTTTTCTCCCTTCCTATTTATGCTACAATGCTGAAACTTGGACCAGATGAAACACTTTTCATATAGAACTTGTCAAAAAAGTTTGATTGAAATCGAATGAGTTTTCATTTTTGCATTTTTGGACCCAGATGCCAACCAGACGCCCCCTTAAGAAAACCTTGTAATAAAACTTCACATTACTATTAATATGAAAAATATAATAAAATACTTCAATTATTTATAAACTATATTTAATGCTCTGTAAATTCATACATCACTTCAGTCTATTTCTATCCATTACTGTATAGTATATATATATATACAATAAGCCTAAAGAAAATTGGTAAATAAAAATTATTTAAGTAAAGATGAAAAACAAAGCTAGCTTTAAATCCTGTAGCCATAATATATGTAATATGAATGAAAACATCCCCTGGAAGCTGGATGTTTCAACACTGTAAACAGCTCTAAAACAGCTGATATTCTACACTGTACTTCAAATGAATTTTCATTAGTCTTTTTGATTCATTACTAATTTTTGTTCTATATAATTTTCAAATCTTGCACAGGCTATCACAGACTGTGCAAGATCTTCTTGCACAGTCCAATCTGTGCAAGAAGATACCAATCTTCCTTGACTGAAGATTCTACCAATCTTCAGTCAATATTTATCTATTACAAATATTGGTCACCTGATAATTAATAAACACTATACATACCAATCAACTCTATACAATTGTATTTTATGACTATTTTTCTTGCTTAATCTCATTTTTTAATCGATTAAAGAAATCTTGGATGAATTTGTTTCCTTTATGTACAATTTATGGTAACTATACCATGCTGATTACAGGGCCAAGTCAGAGCGCACATATTGGCTATTCTTGTAGATTAAAAGTCATAGAAATTTTATCTATGATAATTACAATCATCATAACACAAACCTATTAGTTTCATGGTATTTGTACACTCTTTCACCTTCAGCATGGATATTTCCACTTCGTATAAATATATATAAATACTGCACAAGTGTGCAGAATGAATTTACCAGAACATGATACAGTATTTGAAAATACTGAAAATATATTTTGAAATATTTTGAAAATATTTGAAAATATAGGAGCCGGTCGGCCGAGCGGACAGCACGCTGGACTTGTGATCCTGTGGTCCCGGGTTCGATCCCGGGCGCCGGCGAGAAACAATGGGCAAAAGTTTCTTTCACCCTATGCCCCTGTTACCTAGCAGTACAAATAGGTACCTGGGTGTTAGTCAGCTGTCACGGGCTGCTTCCTGGGGGTGGAGGCCTGGTCGAGGACCGGGCCGCGGGGACACTAAAAAGCCCCGAAATCATCTCAAGATAACTCAAGATAACTCAAGATTGAAGCTGTATGATATTGAATCTGCATCCCTGATCTCCCCAGGTATATGTGGTGCGCGTGCCTATTGAGTCCAGGGAATAAGTGTTCGATCCAATTGCACAGCCAAGATATTTTCTAATATACAAGTGCATTCATTCATTCATTGCCACCCCACAGGATTTTTTAATTACTATAACCATTTTGCTGCTGTATCTGAATGTAATCCATGTTTTAAAAATGGGGTTTATGATGCAATAGGCAATTTTGTTCCAGGTGCCAAGGAAAATTATCACAGAATATTTTGTATTTGTGGTAAAAACCGTCCTAACACAGTGTAGACTTTTTTTTCAGTTATGTGGATTTTTCTCTGCTCTTGCATGGTAACAAAATCCTTTTATCAGGATTTTCATTCATGTCTTTGGCTACTACTCAATTTTGAGCACAAAAACCATATCTGCCAGATAAAAGTTCTCAGGTCTCCTGAACAGGAATTTGGACCTTGTAGCTTCAGCCTTTTGTTGGCAATAGAGGAAAAAGTCATCTGATGTGATACAGGTCGATCTTAATCTATCATAGTTAATTAAGGCATCTTAAAATCTCAAGTTATCATTGTAGGTACTACTGTAACCCCGCAATTATCCGGGATTCGAACATCCGAAAAACGCCCTTATACGGCCAAAATCGTGAACGGATAAAGTTATCACAATATCCGGCCAAAATAGCCACAGGGACCGGATTAAAGCAGGTTTTCTGCAGAAATTATACTATCCGGTCAGTACCCCAGATAATCGTGCCTTTGTCCGTATATGAAAACATGAGGCAGGCCATACGGTATTAATCCCGTCTGCCCGAGACTCGAGGCGCATGGTGTAGGTGGGGGTGGGGTGGGTGGGTGGTGTTGGGAGGGTGGGAGGGGTGCGTCAGGAGGGACTACCTGGGTACAGGAATTACCATTAATTTTAGAACAATTAATCATAGCCAAAAACAAATAAAATAACTACTAGTAATTATGTAATAACAAATAAATAAGTTTCCTAAAAGCATTGTGCACAGGCTGAAGTTTCCTCAAAAAATATTGTGAATTTTTTTCCTCCTGGCGGCCTACATAACGCGTTATGGCTGTCCCAAGTGGACCTGTCCAACACTGGTCAACCCATGTGCGTCCATCCCTCCTGTTATACACAGTGCTGCGCCATTAGTGAAATATTTTTTTAAATAACTTTTTTATTTTCATAGTAACTTTGAACATTTTTGGCCAAGACTATGTCTGGTAGCAGCATCAATCGTTCTGGAGGTGTTAAGAGGAAGAAAGTTGTCCTAACAATTAAAGACAAGTCACAGTTATACGCCTCAACCAGTGCGGCCTCACAGTGTTGCGCCATTAGTGAAATATTTTTTTAAATAACTTTCTTAATTTTCATAGTAATTTTGAACATTTTTGGCCAAGAATATGTCTGGTAGCAGCATCAATCATTCTGGAAGTGTTAAGAGGAAGAAGATTGTCCTAGCAATTAAAGACAAGTTACGTGTTGTTCAAACAGTGAGGCGTCACAGGCAGCCAAGCGCCTTCAACAAGTGAGGCGCCACAGGCAAGCCAAGCTCCTTCAACAAGTGAGGCATTATAGGCAAGCCAAGCGCTTTCAACAAGTGAGGCGCCACAGGCAAGCCAAGCGCTTTCAACAAGTGAGGCGCAAGCAAGCGCCTTTAACAAGTGAGGCGTCACAGGCAAACCAAGCGCCTTCAACAAGTGAGGGCATGCTAGCACTTCAACAAGTGAGGTGCAAGCAAGCGCTTTCAACAAGTGAGGGCATGCAAGCGCTTCAACAAGTGAGGTGCAAGCAAGCACCTTCAACAAGTGAGGCCTCACAGGCAACCCAAATGCCCTCAACCAGTGAGGCTTCAGCAGCTGGCGGTCAAAACTAACTTAGCTTAATGAACTGTACAGTAATTTTAAGTGTTAATTTTAGTGTTGTGTTAGTATAGGTTATGTAAATTGTTAAGAATTTTTAACTTCAAGATGTGTGGCATCAATCAAGAAGACGAACACCAACAAGGTAAGTTGAGGTTTCTAGTTGAATATTTAATAATTGTATGTGGCAAGGCAATTCAAATTATGTTGTTTGTAGTATAAAAATAGTTGGAAATGGTCACTTTTGGACTCGTAGGTGAAAAAGTACCATTATCCGAAAAATGTGATAATCCGGCTGGGGGTCCTTCCCATATAGTCCGGATGATCGAGTGGAGACAGTATATTGATTTATGGAAATATACAAATATTATTTGTCTAATTATAAATTAAAAAAACCAGCGTTGAATGTAATGAAACGCCATTTTCTGGGTGAGACCCGGAGGCTCCCCGGAGCTTTACCGGCTGATATGCTAATGTCAGACTTTGGCATCAGTCATGTGTATGGAGTTCTAGGGCCTACCGGGGACCACGAGCCAGAACCTGGCCCCCTCAGAGAGGCAAGGGGAGCAATGGCCTATAGAAACCCCATGTGGTTGGAAGCATTCTATGTCTGCCATCGACCGGGTCAAGCATCCAGAAAGGTAAGCATTCCAAAACAAACCCCTATTCTGGTGAAAATTGCTACCTAAAGCCGAACTAGCGGATAGAACTCTTCAACAGAAAACAAGGAAACTAGTATGACGTCATACGTCACCGCGCCGCTGTCTGCGCAGCTCCCCCCTCCCCGGGAGGGGGAAGGGGGAGCCCCAGACCTCCCACGCCGGCTATCCACCCATGAGTTCTGAGGCTGGATGTCAAAACACGCGAAAAACGCCGACCGGAGGGAGGGAGG